TGTAGAATACTTTATTTTCGCTTGGAATTTATTTTCGCTGAAGGGATGATTCCGTGAAAATAAAATCCAGCGAATATTCTTTTTTACCTATATTTCACATTAAACTCGTCATTAATCAGTGAAAATAAATTCCATACAAAACACCCAAAAAAAGCCTTTTCAGCGAAAATTAATTCCAGCGAAAATAAAGTATTCCACAATATAGTAGATACAAGAGATATTCCAAGATGGTTTATTAACCATGTAGTTTACTTAGCAAACACTATGCGAGGTACTTCCAGTATTTGTGAGTAAACTTTTACCATTCTATCCACAGACCTATTCACCACTACTTGCTGAATTTACAAGCCAGGGGAAATCAGAAACAGCACTGATATTAAAAATTCAGGTAAGGTACACGTACACTGGATTGTACGTTTGATATCTTTGGCACCTGGGAATAAAATCACATGACAATTTTTACTATATTTTCAGTCTAATTTGATATTCTGTTAATTTCTAAGCAATAAAAGGATGATTTTTATTGGTAACCTGGTAATTCATGCATTTGTAACAAAAAATAGTTCTTACAACTATGAATTTTTAGCTCTGCTGTGTCATACAACGATGACAGCATAGCTAAAAATTCATTTCATATAGGTGATTGTCTGTTGTTGTCAACAATTGCATTTTCGACTTGTAAACTAACCAGCTCAATTGCTCAGATATTGGTATATGCTGTAAAACATGTTGAAAAAGCGGCATGCAATTTTCGCGAATTGTGGTAAAATGGCGTAATACGACATGTTGATTTAGCGAATCTTTCTTGTCATTGTTGATTTCTTTGTTTGGCGGCCATTTTGAATTGATAATAAAGTCTTTAGCATCTTGAATCTTGAATTAGCGAATCAGTTCTCTCGCTAAATTCGCAAAAAAGACATGCTCTCGACGTGTTTTACAGTAGGTAACTTGGGTGGACAGCTGTCAGATTTGTTCATTTTGTGACAATATCTCTATAAAATCTTCACAAATATTTATATTTATGGTACAAATATTTTCTCTGCTCTTGGAAAAACATAGGCCTGCTTTAATATTCGATGTGTACATAATATTTGTGAACAATTTCTTTGAAGTTAGGTTGGCATGTTCTTAACAGCCAGAATTTTTGTGGGTTTAATTGTGTTTTGTCTTGTGCGTATGCACTACTTTCACGGATTTCCATGTCAGAACCCACAAATCCAAAAAACATAAGTGTTGGTGGAATTTCCAGGAATTATAAGTCGTTGATTTACCTACGCATGTTGATGCAGGATTACTTGTGTAGTATTTCTCATTACTGTACAAGTCCAGTTGACATGCTATAATAATATATCATCTCGAACCATTGTCAAGCTTTGTGTACAGTGAGCTTAACACACTGATACGGATGATACAAAATTATGTCAAAACGTGACCATGCATCTACCATTATTTTAGTTTCTTTTTATTTTGCCTTGTCATTATAGGAATAGTACTCAAAGATGGCGCTGTGTTGAAACCCCTCAACATTGCCATGACTACCGTAAAATCTGTATTAGAAGCCGCATCCCTAATATAAGTCGCACCCATTCTTTTTGAATAATTGAGAAGCTAAAATTTACCATTTCTCATATGTGTAGATGCCGCATCCCCTCTGTTGCTTTGTACCATTTTAATAGAAGCCGCGGTTTCTAATACAGATTTTACAGTAATCATAAACAAAAACAGACTGGTTTTTCAGATTAACACCTGTGCCCCCCCCCCCCACCAAATGCTCACTTTCCCCCACACAAACGAAACAATCTTTTGTTTCCTTCTGACTTCCTGTTCAAGCCCTACTCTTGTACTCTGCAAATTTTATTGAATATAATCAGACTACAATTAGTGTTGTGTACAATACTGTAAACTCTTTATCTATTCCCTAGTTTTTAATTTCGCCATTATCAGCTGTAAATAAAATCCACTAAACGAAATCTTTGTTCACGTAGAAAGACACTACATGTGAACTTAAAACCCAATGAAACTGCTCAGAATATCAAAATAGTGAAAAAAAATAGTTTTACAATATGGTGCTCCCATCCCAGAAGAAAATTATCAAAGTTTTTGTTTTTGTTTTCAGGATTATTGTTACGATAATATGAATTTTATGAAAGTTTTTCAGAAGATTATTATACTGCTCTACAAATGTAAGTAACGTGAAATCTCATTGGCTATTGTATACTTGATGTATGTATTACTGTAAGTGACGTGAAATCTTATTGGCTATTGTATACTTGATGTATGTATTACTGTAAGTAATGTGAAATCTTATTGGCTATTGTATACTTGATGTATGTATTACTGTAAGTAACGTGAAATCTTATTGGCTATTGTATACTTGATGTATGTATTACTGTAAGTAACGTGAAATCTTATTGGCTATTGTATACTTGATGTATGTAGTACTGTAAGTAACGTGGAATCTCATTGGCTATTGTATCCTTGACGTTTGTAGTACTGTTAAAGTGATTTATTTCACAATTTTTGAGAGGGGTAGAAAAACATGAAATTTCAACGAAAATTTGACAGGGTGCTGTGTTTTGGAGATTCTATGACTTCTTCATGAGATTTTGTTGACATAAAAACATCGAATTGCGTAACTTCCCGGCAGTGGAAATTAATCGGTTTACAATACTTGTAATTATGAAATCATACATTGTTCCAAATGATGTTAATTTTTTGTTCTTGACTATTGTGGAAGAATACAAAATCTGATTTAATGAGACTGATGGAACATTTGCTGTAAAGTTTTACAAAAAGGCAATTCTAGAGGAAACTCACTAAGGCAAGGCCGTGTCACGAGTTTTCTCGCTAAAATAATCTTCTCTCCAAGTTGACAATGTCGCCTGAAAAGTTTTTTTTTTAAGTTGCCTGTTGCCCTAGTTAGTTGCTTTGTGTTCCTGGCAATGTCCAGGTGTCTTGTGTGCTTTCAGATTAAATAGAATCTGGTATCTACTTGTGTATTGAAGACTTTGGCATTTCGTTCAATTGTGATCGTTATCAGGCGGGTTTCTGGGCGGGAAACGATGAGGTGATGGACGGTGAAAGATGGGGATTATTTTTATCGAAAATGCATCTTCAAATACTGCTGGCATCTAAAAAGTTTGACCATGTTTTTATTAGCTCCGCTGTCGACTTTGTCGAGCGGAGCTTATCATATGAGTGATTGTCCGTCGTCGTCCGTGTCAATGTTTTACTTTTTTCGACTTCTTCTTGAAAACTACAAGCCTGAATGCTTTGATACTTGGTGTATATGTACCTTGGGTAGACCTCTCTCAGATTTGTTCATTTCATGATGATATCTTCAATTCTCTAATTTTGGTGAATATTTTTGTCATTTTTAGTAAAAAGTGATATTTTTGACTTCTTGTTGAAAACCGCAAGTGCAATTGCTTTGATATTACATATATAGGTACTACATGTGGACCTCTCTCAGATTTGTTCATTTTGTAATGATATCTTCAATTCTGTAATTTTGGTGAATATTTTTGTAATTTTTGGTAAAAAGTGATATTTTCGACTTCTTGTTAAAAACCGCAAGTCCAATTGCTTTGATATTACATATATAGGTACTACATGTGGACCTCTCTCAGATTTGTTCATTTTGTAATGATATCTTCAATTCTCTAATTTTGGTGAATATTTTTGTAATTTTTGGTAAAAAGTTATATTTTCGACTTCTTGTTGAAAACCGCAAGTCCAATTGCTTTGATATTACATATATAGGTACTACATGTGGACCTCTCTCAGATTTGTTCATTTTGTAATGATATCTTCAATTCTCTAATTTTGGTGAATATTTTTGTAATTTTTGGTAAAAAGTTATATTTTCGACTTCTTGTTGAAAACCGCAAGTCCAATTGCTTTGATATTACATATATAGGTACTACATGTGGACCTCTCTCAGATTTGGTTCATTTTCTAATGATATCTTCTGTTCTTTAATTGCCATGTGCATTGCTAACAGCGGAGCTATCTCAGCCGACAGGCTGCTTGTTAATATTCAATGAAGATTTATTAATGTTTTTAAATATATGCATTAAAAGTTTATTTGGATAAAATAATCCTCTGAAACAGAACATTAACGTCCAGTGAATACTGTAAAATACTTTATTATCGATTGGAATTAATTTTCACTAAAGGAATGATTCAGTAAAAATAAAATCCAGTGAATATAAACTCATCGAAAATCAGTAAAAATAAAGTCCATACAAAACACCCAAAATGTCTTTACAGTGAAAATTGATTCCAGCTAAATTAAAAAAAATTTACAGTATACCTTTTATCCTATAGTTTACATTCAACTCATCAAAAATCAGTGAAGTCCGAACAAAACACCCAAAAAGTCTATTCAGTGAAAATTAATTCCAGCTAAAATAAATTGTTTTACAGTAGTTCATTTTTTTGTCTTTGTTTAGCTGATGTATTATCAGAAGACGTGATCCTGAAATGGTATCGTGAAGATCACCTCGCCAAAGGAAAGAGTGTCTTCTTACAACAGTTACAGAAATTTGTGGAATGGTTACAGAATGCAGAAGAAGGTATTGTAAACTAGTTAATTTTCGATTCTATGAATTTTCGTAATTTGACTGCCACTGCTTTTCATCATCTCATTACAATCTTCTTTTTTTTCTCCACCAGAATCTTCTGACGAGGAAGACTCGTAAATATTTTGTAACCTTGGCGACCACTGTCTATGGATGCAAACTGTTCCAGATAGCCGGAAAACCGGAGGGTGCAACAATTTAACCAAGTCGTCACAACCTTATTAGTATATATTATTAAAAAAAAATTGAAAGCTAACTTTTTCTGTAGAAATATTTGCAATGTCCTGTTCTTTATTTTGTATACGTACCTGTATTGAGGTCAATAATAGTGTATTGCCCTCTTCCACTGTGATTGGTCTTGTATGTATGTTTCTCAATTCAATAATGGTAAAAAAAAAATTGATTGACCATATATTGCCCTCAGATGTCACTAATGTTGGGTCAATATACTATAATGTCAACATTATTGAAACTTTTCATTTTACTGTTCAGCTTTCTGAACTCCATGGCCAAGGGCCATTCATTATCTTCATATTGTCCTGTCCTGATATGATTTTTCTCAAATTGGGAATCAGTTGGCTGTAACTTGTTGGCTACAGAAACTGACGGTTTGTTTAAACTGCTCTGTTAAAGCGCGAGGGTCGTCACCTGCACACGCGTGTGAATTGAGTCCCAAGCGACGATAACAACGCACGCTAAAAACGCAAAGGCTCGTGGGTGGACGCTTGTTTGTAAACATTGACACTATGGGCACCTGACGCATGCGTAGGTGACGACACTCTCGCTTTAAATTACTCGTATCAAATCCAATGTTGCTCTATAAACTGAGCAGCTTTACGTGGTCCAGTTGTCATGGCGAATTGTTGGAGAGACTGTGAATATTGGGATTAAAATGACACAATATGATACAAGTCCTGTGTGACTTGTACAACACTTGAGTAATGTATCATTTGTCTCCACAAAATGGTGTTTAACTGTCACTTCAAGGGATGTGAAACATTCATTACAATGGTCGATGTCCCCTTGTAGTGTCAGTTGTGTTCAATTGCATTGTGCCCGGTATCCATATCAAACACACAATGCCAACTGGAGTTTGTACTTTTCGTGTGTTGCTGGTCTACTATTTTATGTCAGTTTGGAAATCCTCATCTTTGTTACAAATCATAGTCAACAGAAATCTGATTACTCTATGCACTTAATTTTACATGATACGAGACGTTAATGAGATGTCGGTAATTCAACTTGTGCGTGAAACCCTAAAACTAGCCTGGTTACCTTCGTGGTTCTTTAAACCTATGCATGCAAGTCTGCAAACATTACCCTTTGTTTGCTCGTACCATGACCGAAGTCACAAAGACTGCCACCCTGTTTCTGTGGTAACTGTCAGTGATACAGCGCATACAGACAATTGTGACGTCCAAGTAGGTTGTGCATTTAAATCAGCAGCGTTATTTATTGACCAAGTTCAGCAAAATCAAGGCTATGTTTTCAGACTAGTATGGAGAGGGCCAAAAAAATAATAGAATGTAACGTAACCAGGCTAGCCAAAAGCAGTCAAACACAACCTTGGGAGTGATCGAGTGTTCTCAAATTCGCAAAATTCATCTAAAAACACCAAAGGTGTTTCGTTTCAGAAGGGGGGGGGGTGTTGAAGAAGTCTATTTTTATGGTTGAAAAAAGTTGTTTTTTTCAGTCCAAAATATCCAACTTTTCTGCACAGGGAGTGTATGAATGAAATATTTTATTTCTTTTTGGCGAACTTTATCAATTTGAGAAGGGCCCTAAAACTTTCATTTTGTTCCAATGACACGCCCCCTTTAGTTGCTCTTTGGAAATTTCAAAACTTTGTGACCTTGAAATGAAATAATAAAATAAATATTTTTGATGTTTTATTTTACCATTTATACCACATTTACTGTCTTAGAGAATAGAATAATAAAAAAAAACTGAAATAAAATTGGCTGAATGTATTATTTTTAGTTCCGCTGTTGACTGTCAAGCAGAGCTTATCACGAGTGATTGTTATCCTTGCCAACTTTTTCGACTTCCTGAATATGAACCTTTTTTGACTCCCGTGTGCGAAGCACAAAAGGGAGTCTTTGCAGTTACCCTGTCTGTATGTCCGTATGTCCGTATGTATGTATGTCACTTTTTTTGTTCACTGTTATCTCAAGAACCACTAATCAGATTTTGGTGAAACTTGGTACATAGATGCTCTGAACTAATGCGCAGATTTGATTTGTTTTTGCTAAAAATCTAGGAATATTAAATACCTAATTTGCATGATAACTGATTTTAAGCTGTTCCATGACTGTTCCACTGATATTTGAAGAACCACTCATTGGATTTTGATGAAACTTGGCACATGGATGCTCTGATCTAATGCGCAGATTTCATTAGTTTTGGGTAAAAATCTGTTTATATTAATTACCTAATTTGCATAATGATTAATCAATTTTCGGCTTTTCCACTGATATCTCAAGTACTAATCATAACATTTCAATAAAACTTGGTACATAGATGTCATATGAGACTGCACAAATAGTTTTTAGGGTAATATCAGTACATATTAATTACCTAATTTGCATAATTAATTAATTTTCAGCTATTGATATTTCAAGTAGTAATGAACACATTTCAATGAAACATGGTACATAGTTACTTGAGGACTGCAGAGACCTAATTAGTTTTTGGAGAAATATTTGTGCATATTAATCACCTTATTAGCATAATTAGTTAATTTTCAGCCCTTCACCTGATATCTCAAGTACTAATCATCACATTTCAATGAGACTTGCGACATAGATCTTCTAGGACTATGCAGAGACTTGATTAATTTTAGGATAAATTATTGTGCATATTAACTACTAATTTGCTTAATTAGTTAATTTGTCCTAAGAACCACTCATTTTAATGAAACTTTTAAAGAGTGCTCATCACATTTCAATGAACCTACATGTGTAGGACTATACACCATATTAGTTTTGGTAAATATTTATGCTTCTTAATCACCTAATTAATTAATTAATACTGATATCTCAAGTATTGATCATCACATTTGAATAAAACTTGGTACATAAATGCTCTAGGACAATAGACAGCGTGATTAATTTTGGGTTAAAATCTGTTCATATTAATTCTCTTAATTAGCACAATAATTAATAATTTGTTGGTTCTAATCACATTTCAATGAAACTTGGTACATAGATATTACATTACGCAGATCTTATTACTTTTACATTGCGCAGACCTTATTAGTTTTACACTTAAATGTGTTCATATTAGTTACCTTATTTGCATAATTAGTTTTCTGCATTTCCATCAATATCTCAAGTTCAAGTAATTTTGAATTAATTTTTAATGTGTCTCCAATACTCTCAGCACATGGGAGTTCTTTCTAAGCTTTCTTTGATTATATTTATTCATTTGGTTAAAAGTGATATTTTTGACTTGCTAAAAATCACAAGTTTGATATTATACATAAAAATACTGCAGGTGTCCCTCTCAGATTTCATTTAGCGTTATCTTCAATTCTCAAATTGAAACATGCATTCCGAAAAGCTGCTTGTTTAATCCCTATTACACTTGTATTTTGGGTTCATTTGTATTTGCATCTTATAATAATTTGATTTGTACAAAGCCACGCGGTTATAAGGATTTCTTTGAAAATATCAAGTTGCTTGAGTATGCCGTCACAAATTTTTGTATTGATTATTGGCTACTAAGGGCAGCCATGCTAGTTTTATTTCATTTTTCCCGCAACCATTTCTCGGGCATGCTTCAACTTTTGTTTCGGTAAAGTTGTTTTACCTCTGTTACTGACAAATTTTTATTTTTTCTTGTGTCTTGGCAGTTCCCACGTACTTTCATTGATAGGTGTATACCGGTAGTCACTATCGTAGTACACCAGAGAAATCACACAAAAAGTGTCAACAATTTCCTGAGCATGCCAATTACTGTAAAATACTTTATTTTTGCTGAAAATAAAATCCAGCGAATATACCTTTTTTCCAAATTGTACTTGCCAAAAATCAGTGAAAATAAATTCCATACAAAACGCCCATAGTCTTTTCAGTGAAAATTAAGTCTTTTACAGTAGTATGAACATTACTGGTTTTGTGATTCAAAGCCCAGCTAGTTTGTTATGAGAATGATTTTGGCGTCTAAAGCCACTAAGCCTTAATAAAATCAGTGCCAGCAAATAAGAATTTGTAGAAATTACTCAACATGTACACGAGTCTGTTCAAGCCACTTGCATTTTTACTCCTACAAAGGGTTTGATATTTATAAATTTGACTAGTATGCGAGAATTAAAGAGAAGGGGTCTTCACCTGCATATGTCAGGGAATAGTCCATTCACTGAGAGATCCCGCAATGTGCATGAAATCTAAGGTAAAAAAGGTCATAGTGGTGATAAACGTGAAAGTATTTGGGGAATATTTCCATGCTTAATGTGTTGTACACATTTGAAGTCTGTGTATTCAACAGCAATATTCTCCTGTCAAAGATGAGCCTTTCAATGTGAGCTACGAAATAATGAAGTTCAAAGTCAAATTTTGCGGCAGACGCTCAGCGTGCATCCTTCATGCAACTTGCGAAATCTCGCTGTTGAACAGAAAATTATTTATTGGGGTGATTACTGTAACAATGCACACCAAATATCGTAAAGGCTTATGAGTAGACACTTGTTTGCGAGGATTAAAAGACTTGTACAGTATTTGTCACCCACAAATTAAACAACATTGGTTGGTGTGTGACGTGTTCAAAATTTATGCAAATAACAAGTCATGTATGCAATGCATGGGACTCTCATCTACTTA